CGTACCTGGGCCGCGCCCCGCGCTCCTGCTTAAAGGGCCCGCGCGCGCTCCAGCGCCATCGGTGCGTCGTGGCATCGCAAGAAGCAGGAACATCCAGGGTCCCCAGCCCCGCAGGACAGAGAAAAAGAGAAGAGATCTGTCTGGCTTCGATTCCATATTTTCCGTACTGTCCATATTGTCCAGCCCTCCGCGGATTCGTCCAGTTAAAGACAAGCTGGTTCCTGCTCCCTTTGATGGGGAGAAATGTTCGGGTGATGCTCAAGAGATATTCTGCCTCAAAGTTCTCAAAGTTCGGATCTGTGAGGTAGAGAACTGCATGGTCCGGGCTCAGAGACCTGTTCCAGAGAATGTAACTGAAAATGAGACTCTGGATTTGGGCTGTGGGCAGGAATTTAAGAGTTATGCTGTTGGTGGCCCTGGGGCCTCTTGGAGGCGTGTAGGCGGTTCAGTCATCTTTTACTAACAATTTGAATAACTGTTAGGGAAATCCTGTTCCTCTAGAGAATTCCGTTTCCATAGCCGTAAATCAGAAACTATTTAGCAGTTTGCTGCGACGCCTATGCGAGAAAAGAGGTGACTGACTTGTCACTACAGGGCAGGGTTGTAGGATAAAGACGTTTGATTTGGAAAAGTCCCACACATCCCCCATGCTGTAAAGAGCCTCGGGGTTTGAAGAATTTTTGGGAAAATGGGGTTCCTCTCACTGTCCTTCCCTCTTCAACAGTGCCCCCGTCTCCTCCCTATTTGATTTTGGATAACACGTCAAGCTTGGAGCCAGCGAAGATTTAGTTCGGGGAGGATCTTGCGCTTTGCGTTCAGTTTTAAAGGTCATAGACACTTTCTTAATTCCAAACGGACTTTGCCCTCTGCTGCGTGCGCTCTCCTACTGACTTCTTCCGCTGCCATAAAGATAGTCATGAAAGGGAGGGCTTTGACAAGCCAGCCCTGTAGTTCTCAACTCCAACCCCTTTTCTCACGTCCATCTGTCACGGCGCCCCGCGCGAACTGCAAAGGCTTCCACACCCCCTGATCGTCGTAAACCCTAAGTCTGGGGTTGAATCTGCTGCCTGGCATATAAAGAGTTGGAAAACATTCCACCACTGAGCTCATTCTCCAGCACCAGTCTTTTGTTTTCTTCTTACTTTCAGAGACTCCCAAAACTGTCCATCCAGGCAAGCTTTGAACTTGTCATTCTTCTGTTTCAACCTCTCCAGTAAAAGGAATTACAGTGAAACATCGTTAAAGTGTAGACATCTTCAGTCTGGGCAGAAGTGTAGCGGTGAGAAAAGAATAAGGATTCATTCTGAAGCCAGAACCGAGGATTCCTAGTAAGACATAACCGCTTTCAGGCTGCAGAGATGGCTCAGTGGTTAAGAGCACTGACTGGCCAACCTAGATTCCCAGCATCCACAAGACTCTCAACTGTCTGTAACTCCTGTTCCAGAGGAGGCATCGCCCTCTTCTGGCTTCTACAGGCACTGCAAAAACATTCAAATAAGTAATACTTTTGAAAAGTCTCAAAAAATTATTTTTAAAAACACAATTGATTTTAACAGGGCAATTGTCTATCTCATGAAAATATGAAATAAATATATTTCAATTTTTTAGCTTAATAATGAAGCAACTAATAAGAGGTTTAACTGATTCAGAGCCACAGACAAACAACACAAATGCTGGTTTAAGTAGGTTACTTGGTGCAAAACTGGCTGGGAGGGGGGCATAGGAAAGCCTGTGCACACCGACTTTAGGGAGGTGGGAGGGCCTGTTCTCCTGCAGACTAAATTCTTTTCATCTCCGTGGACAGAAGCACTGTTGTTACTACCAATTGTTTCTGATTTACACAGATGGACAATAACTGCAAGGCAATGAAAGGCACAGACCATTATATCATCAGAAAAAATGCATTAGATAAGACTGCCACAGGGTACATAGCATGGAGCAGCTTTTTGGTGGTGTTGGTGGTGGTCATTGATCATTTTAATTTGCTCAGTTTTCCTGTGTATTCCCAAGGTAGTATCTTCAATGGCTGAATGGTACCAACTCTATTTTTAAAAGTTATTATACAGAACAAAACTTTTCTACCCTATAATGCCCACCATTATTCTTGCCTTTATTCAAACACTTTAAAAAGTAAATCAGAGCTTATATCTCAGACAGAAAAACAAAAAGGAAGGAAGGAAGAAAAGTGCTTGCTACACATAAGGACCTGAGTGGAATCCCCTGAACCACTTTTTAAAAAATAGTCCAGTATAGTGGCATCTGCCTGTCACCGTACAGAGGAGACAAACAGATCCTTGAGGTCCGCTGGCCAGCCAGACTTACCTGCTTGGTAAGTGAAAGAGCCTGTCTCAGAAAACAACATGGACAGCTCCCGAGGAACGACAGTCGGGGTTGTCTTCCAGCCTACCTCCACCTACACACTCACACACCCTTTTATCATTGCTGTCTTCATTTGTCAAGCATGGTTTGCAGCACCAGTGTGTTTCTTTATACATTACTCTGCCTTTTCTCCCCTTAAACAGGATCTCATGTACCTCAAGATGATCTCATTCTGTGCGACCAAGCATGACCTTGAATTTCTGATCCTTCTGCACCCAATCCCCAATGCTGGGATTACAGATACATGCTACCAATCCCTGTTTATGCCAGGCTGGGGATCAAACCCAGGACTTCAGGCATACTGGGCAAGCATCTACCAACTCATCTACATCCCCAGAACCAGAAAGTCAATCTGCCCTTCACATAATAGTTTTTCAGTGATGAGGCCATTGTTATAAACTAACAGAACAATTGTTGGACACACAGCTAAGAGGCCTTAATCAGAAATGTGACTCTATTCACTGGGCATATTAACCACACTTAAGCACAGGCCCCACACCAAGCAGTATACAGGCAACACAAAACACACCCAGCGGTATTCTTGTAGACTTTGTGTCTCATATGGCTTTGTTTGGACGCTTTGTCTTACTGACCATTTGCCTGTATATTACGATTTCTGATTTTGTATTTTTATGAGGTGTGTGTGTTTCTTATTTTTTTTCTTTTTTCTTTCTTAAAATCCTGGTTTGTTTGTTGTTGTCTGGTTGTTTTCTAAAGGGAGAAAAAGAAATGGCCTGGAGTTGGGTAGGTGGGGAGGGTGGAAGAATGGGGAGAAGTTGGGAGAGATGAAATTGTCATCGAAACGTAATTATATGAAAAAAAATTAGCTAAAAAATGTGACTCCCCCTCACCACCTAGCAGGCAGGAAAGCTGGTCCTGGGGTCACAAGACTGGGAAAGCTGACCCTGCTCCTCGACAGCTGCAACACCAGAGGCAGGGGCCCTTGCACCTGGCCTGGGCAGCACAATAGAGCTGATTCTATCGGGGTGGGCACAGGTGATCTGGCCTCACAAACATGCATGGGAGATCTGTTCCCTCTGCTCATCTGCAATATGGTGGAGTGGGCAAGGGAGAGATGCCCTCCTGCATCCTTGCCCCTCACTGCTTGTGGCAGGTGGGAGAGCTGGCTCTGAGGTCCTGAGAGTGGGAGAGCTGGCTCTGAGGTCTTGAGAGTGGAAGAGCTTCCCCTCGGCAGCTGCAGCACTCTGGGGTGGAGAGCAGGCCCTGTGCTTTGTTTGGGAAACACATTGGAGCTTACCCTGTT